GACCAGGAGGAAAATATACTAAATATAAACATTTTTATTATAAACTAAGGAGCTAAACTTACGCCGGTTTCTTCCAATGAGGGAAAAAAAACACATCGAAAGCATTTTCTATTGATATTGATTACGTGTCTATCGAGATAGTTATCGTTTTATCACCCAGCCCCACTGTGGACACATGCTGCCATTACAATGAAGTGAAAAATATCATCATGTGTTAGTTTAGACAGAAATCAGTTCTTATATATTATATGTTATTCCCACCTAGTTCCAGTCACAATGTTCAAACTCCTCCCTGTGGATTACACAGTACACCTGTACAGTGAACATCTAACTAATGAAAGTAGTTGAAATTAGTAAAGCCAATCCAGTTTACATACTGTAGACTTAATAAACTTAATTGTATAGTTTATTAATGTCTAATATATTAATATATTTCAGTCTGATAGGCTGTTTTATGACCCGCAGTGTCCCGTAGTTTTTGTATATATGCAGAGAAAGTGTCACTGTCGAACTGTTGGTGTGACTATCTTCTCTTCGCCCCCTGCATGGACAGAATAATGGAGTTTGAATGCGATTGAGCCAACAAAACCGTTTTAGAGGTGTGGTCCACCTGAGAAATGTTAGTTAGTTTTCATGAAATGCCTCTGTTAATACAGCAGCTGGAGCACAGTGGGCTACAATTAACATCGTATGTGAAATCAGGCTTTTATATAGCTGACGCCTAAATCTGCCCCGAAGGTCCTCCCTGAAGATAGGCCTGAACCATTTATATAAACATTTATCATCTTTCTGCCAGCACTATAACCTTGAACAGGCACAGTTGAGTGTGGAGAAAGGAGGGATTCAATGTAGCCATTAATTTTGAAGGGCCTCTTAACCCATACCTCACAATGACAACAGGAAGGTACGGGTTAAAATGAATGGCACAGTTGTTCCTTAAACTTAAACTGAGCATCAGCCTTTCCTCATGCAGCTGTCTGACAAAGCACCACACAGGTCTAAGTGTTATATGCAGATATGCATTTCCAGACTACCGCACACACACAGCACTTTCTTCTGTTGCAGAAGGTGGGAAATCATCATTTTATCCATTTCATGAAAGGCAACATTTAATGGTTAAGAGGTATTATTGCTTGAGAGGATTGAATGGACACTGAATGTGGTTTGTCTTCAACTTATTTCTGTGGATGTGGGTGAAGATCTCTTGAGGTGGCCCCGACAGACGGTCTAGCAGTTACACAGCCGTGCTTGGTGTCATGGTCGGAGAGGAGCGAGCGTAGTCTGGCTGGAAGCAGGAGTCGAAGATGCCGTGACGGCTCGAGCTCCGAGAGAAAGGCCAGGGACAGTGGTGCGCAACAGTGAAGCTGTAGCTGTCTCCTCAGGCTCTGGGCAACACACACAAACATGTACACACAC